CCAGCCTGTTTAGTAGTACCTTCAAAGTCTTTGGTGTCCTAAGAACTTACCACTAGAGAAAGTGTCATGAAGAAGTAGATATATTCTATCCAGTAGACAAATCAGATGTCAGCTGACCTGAGAATTTACTAGCAAAGAAATGCAGCTTTTTTTTTCCTTACGAAGCATTCCACAAAAAAAATGATGAATTCTTTGTTTTTTCTTGTGTTGTGACCTGACGTCGCTATGATATTTTTTTTTCCTTTCTGTTCTTTGTATTTCAAAGATGTAGATAAGAAATCTCACCAGCTGCATCGAGTCTTTTAAAAATGCTTGTGACTGGAGATGTATAGTTTCTTCCGTACCGAAGGAGTTAGCTGTCCGTGGCTAGAGAAGCACTGCCTTTAACAATGTTTTATGGTAGCAGTATGTGAGAGCCAGAGGCGACTGTGTTTGAAAATAGCGGAGTAACCTCATTGCAAAGGAAGCTAGAGAGCTAATTAAGGGAAGGAGAAGTTATTTATGGTGCATTGTGTAATTGTTTACTATTTCAGATATATTTGTAAGCATTTCCAATGCTGTCTTAACTTTATATTCATTCCCTTGCGATTTTATTAGCTTAAATTTTCTTATATTACACGAACACGTGTTCATAAAATTGCAAAAATGGAAGATTTTTAGGGAGTTTTAATGGGCCTGGGATGCACATACTCATGTATTATATGGAATATGTTCATAACAAAGTGCTTTCTTTGCAAAATTGCCCTTTAAGAAGAATAGGGTTGCAGATCCCTTCCAACCAAATGACGTATCAAGAGATTCACTTTGTATTAGGAGAGCAAACTGAATGTTTGAAATGTCCTTGTCATTGACCACTTGATCTTTCAACTTTCATTGTGTTTTTCATTTAATTCTTACGTTTTTATGGAGTTGGAATAATTTAAAACTTCTAGGGAATTACACTGCTTCTCATTTCCATTAGATTTGACAATGACATTGTAAGTTATTTTCCCAGCAATTACTTTGCGTAGTTCATAAGTTCAAAAGGTATTAAGTTCAAAGCTTGAGACCTTCAATCCAAGCAGAAAAAAAAAAGTAGCAGAAGATGGTTTATGATGATTTAATTATCTTTAAAGCAGATTCTATTCATCAAGCCTGAGAGCGCTTAAAGAAAATTGATGGAAGAACTACCTTTGGCTTAATGTGATTTAGTTATCTAATGTGTACCACAAGTAATGAAACTTGGGGGGTGGGGTGGAGGTACCTCACAAAAATCCTTGAGAAGTTTTGATTACTGAATCTTTTAGGTTGGCAGGAACCTCATGAGATCATTTAGTCCCTGCTTGAGTAGGGTCAGCTAGAGCAGGTTGCCCAAGACTATATGCAATTGGGGTTTGAATATCTCCAAAGATGGAGACTACACAACCTCTATGGGCAACCTGTTCGTGTTTGACCGCCCTCACAGTAAAAAATATGTTTTCTTGTGTTCAGAAGGAGTTTCATGTGTTCTAATTTGTGCCCGTTGCCTCATGTCCCATCACCTGTGAGTGCAGCCCATCAGGCCCCATGGACTTGTGTATATCCAGGCTTTTTTTAAGTGCTCCCTAAACCTGGTGGTCCTCCACCAAGGGTAGATCCTCCTTGCTTCCAGACTTTTCCTCTAGTCTCTGCGGCTTGGAATTACTGAAGGACGGTCCTACTAGTAAAGAAGGCATAAAGTGCCAGGGCCTTTTCTATGTCATTTGTCACCAGGTCCCTTCCCCCATTCAGCAGTGGGCCCATGATTTTCCCTAGTCTTCCTCTTTTTTTTTCTCAATGCTCTTCACGTCCCTTGCCAGATTCAATTCCAGATTGGCCTTGGCTTTCTTAAGACCATACATAAAAGATGAGCTAGCAACTCTCTACTCCTCTTGGGTCACCTGCCCTGCTTCCAACTCTTGTACACTGCCTGTTTATATCTTGAGTTCAGTTAGGAGCCCCTTGCTCATCCGTGCAGACCTTCTGCAACCTGTGCTTGATTTCTTACTAGCTGGGATGAATCTTTCTGGAGCTTGTAGAATCCTTGAGTATCAGCCAGCTCTTCTGGACCCCTCTAATCTCCAGAGCTTTATCCCACAGGACTCTTCCAAGCAGATCCCCAAAAAGGCCAAAGTCTGCTCTCCTGAAATCCAGGGCTGTGGTCCTGCTTTTTGCCCTGTTCCCTCCTGTTCAGATCTTCAACTCCACCATCTCATGGTCACTGCAGCCAGTGCTGCCTCTGTGACTTCCACATCCCTGAGTAGTCCTTCCTTGTTTATAAGTGTCGGGTCCAGGAGAGCACCTTCCTTGCTGGCATCTTGATCGCCCATATCAGGAGTTCATCGTCAATGCGCTCAGATCTCCTCGATTGCTTGAGCCCTGCTGTCTTGTCCTTCCAGCAGATAGCAGGGTGGTTAAAGTCCCCAGTGAAGACCAGGACCTGTGAAAGTGAGGCTTCCTCCGGGTGTTTGAGGAAGGCCTCATGTACTTCTACCTGAATAGGAGGTCTACAGCAGCCTACCCACTACAGGACCACTCATCTTGGTCTGTCCACTTACCTTGACATTTAAGGTCTTGACTGACTCCAGATCCATACCAAGGCACAGAGCTCCACGCATTCCT